CAGTATATGATGGTGTAATCCATGATTTGATGGTCCAAACACAAAATTTGCATATGCAACCCATGGTATATTGGCTGATAATGCACGGCTAAACCAAGTGGCCTGGAACATGAATTGACTGCAGGTTTAATACGGAAATACATAAAACTGGTACTACTTGATTTTTAGGGAAATATAGTGGTTGAATTTTGGAAGAATATTGAAAAAAAATACTGAATTAAAAAGATCTGAAAAGTTATATAACCATAATATTGCTTTTTGTTAATGATGGGATCAAAGCTGTGAGAGTCAGTCTTTGGGTCATTGTTGTTCGCCACACAAACCTAAACCACCGTCCCTCAACAATGTGAGGTGCCTAAACGAATGAGATGGATTGCGAACCTCCAACAAAGAAATCATGATCTTTAAATATTAAATAAGATTGAGGGATTGGAGGACAACAAAATGCAAAAAACTATGAGTCACAGGCAAAAATGTATGCCACCAATAACAACCGGTGTCTCGTAGTGGTGTTCGAATTCTAGCTGACAAAATTGCAGTGAAATTGCACCCGGGTAAATTGCCATCTGTTTCAAAGAACACAGGACAACGCAGGATTTGACGACGATATATGGTATTGTAATTCTCCACTATGGGTAAATAAATTACAGGAGATAATGAAGGTAATTTCGAAAGCTGCAGATTTGTGCCGAGTGTACACCAACCACTGTATTAGCGCGATGGCGTTGAAAAGTCTTTTTTTTTAGCCGGAGTTGAGACAAGGCATATCATGTACGTTTCACAAAAACGATGCGAGAATCTCGATCTTACACCATCAAACTTACCCCAGAACAATGACAAAACTAGTCAGTCATACCGTCACAAAACTTTGGTTATACCAAAGGTATTCAGGTCAGATGTTGGAACTGAGGTCGTCATGTCGGTCGCCGTACGTGATACACCACGTCCTGCAGAGTCTCAAATTTCGGTCGAACAAGTACCGCTGAACATCAAATATCCACAGTTACAAGTAGTATGATGAGTGACAAAACCGGTTTATTTCAAAACTGTACTTGCAATGGGCAAATTACAATCCAAATTGTACAAAAACCGGAATGAAAACGTGGAAAATCCGTTGTTTTAATGATCCAAACTGTACACGACTATGTATTTCAAATCGCATTGACGCAGTCAGTAAAAGGTCAGAAAGGTCATCATTTCATTTTGTTATGCTAATTTGTGTGTTTACGCTGCTCTATCCACCGCGGATACGTTTTTTTTTTCATGCAGAATAAAAATTAGTTTGTATTCAATTTGAACTGTGTTGCGCATGTAATTTGTGTATGCATTCAGTGTACAACTACATACTATTCTTATAAATATTCATGTTCAAGGGCCATAATCATGATCTTTTAGTAGATTACTAGTTTTGTCGAATTGTCATTATACTGGTATAATATAATAGCAATACCCCCCCCCCCCCAATTTGGGTACCACTTGATATTGCACAATTCACTCCATATATGCACTCAAATTGTGCAATATCTTGTAGGTATACCAGCCTTCGGCTGGCGGCGGCGGCGGCGGCGCGGGGGGGGGGGTTATTGCTTAAGTACATAACAAGAAAACCTATCTTCGGTATATCTTAATGTAGCTCAGTAGAACGTGATTTAGAATTTCTATATGACAGTTCTATAAAAATTAGTTGTCCTTTAGGACATTGGTGTGCTATAGAATCCTAAAAAATACTATACGTACAATAGGATTTCTATAGGATATTTTAGTATGAGTGACACCGTGTAAACATCGCGTAAACAGGTGAATTAACCTCACAAAATAGCTTTGTCACTAGAGGGCGCGACGTATAGGTGCAGTGCATATTCAGGGCCAACACTTCAAAAAAATCATTGGCCTCGTATACTGGAAGTGACGCAAATCTAGGAAACACAAAAAACAACAGTAACGGATGACCTTAACCGACTTGTTTCCGTGAATTCCACCCAGTCTTGGGTTGCTGATTGACATTATTCGAAAGTCATTCGGGTGGACATCAACTCAATCGCCTGGGTTTAAAATGTTGAAGTATCTCGACAACGTCTTCATACCTCTAAAAATCACTGTCATGCGTTGAGAAGTATTGACAATGACAGAGTAAATGACCGTGATTGACAATATCCTCAGACTAGTATAGTAATCTGAGCAATATCAAAGCCCCAGACAGACAAAATGTACCGCCGTCGTCTGTGATGCAGACGAAGGGCTCCTTAACCTATGTAAACAAGTGTAATAACAGGTTATGCGCCCAACAAATAGTAGTATAATAAGCGTTTGTAATATTTTAATCAATTTTTTAATAAACATAAATTACGCTTACAACAAATCATGGTTAATTTGTTTAAAGTCTCTCGAAATTGATTAGACAGAAACATTTTATGAGTAAGTTAAGAGATACTGGAATTCCCCATCACACATTGCGAGGCATATGCCAGTACGCATGCGCGAGAAGAACACCGCCATTTCCGCAGTATTCCGTTGGACTTGTTTTCGTCAACGTTCGGTTGGCCATATCTGTTTTTTTTTCTTTAAAAATCTTTCAGTTTCGATGCACGAGTGAATTTCAGTAGTGCATGTTGTTCAAAGGTAAGTACATGTTTTGAATATACACAATATATCTTGAAAACACAAACTGCTAACATAGTTAAAAGGCGCGTCATTGGTTTCAGTTGGCAACGGTTCTCTGCATAACTCAGATCTTCGTGAATCAGTTGAAAATAGTGAACTCAACTGGATGACCAAGACACTTACAGTACACCTAGTCGCTTAGGAATTGTGAAATCGTTTTACTTTGTGCTCTCACAGCATTCATATATTAATTTGCCTTTTGTTTATTAGTTGTTTTTATGTATCGGTACTTATTTACAAGCAAAAAATACTACAAGTCGCCTCGTCTGCCAACGAACTAGAATATTACCGGGTATTATTATTGGTTTTTCAACGCTACTTGTATTATCCCTGTGTATGTGGCAATGACATAAAAGCCAATTTAAACTAAACTGACACAAAATAACACTACCAATTACAAACTCTGTTACTCTTGATAGGAGAGCACTATTACATGCACGTACTACTAATGTGCTGCGAGTCTAATTCAGTCACCCCATACATAGAAAATGTTAGCTTTGGTAAAAGTAATATCATGAGCATATATATATATATATTGCCAGGTATGAATTGTAATATGTTTATAATTATTTCATGGGTGTACCAACATGTTTTTATACAGGTAACAGGTTTACTATTTAAACAATACGTTATGGCTTGTTGAAACCTGTAATGTTATAATTATATACATCATTACATCTTGACCTTTTAAATATATTGTTTGAACATGTGTCCTTTACCTAACAGGGGTTTTCTAGAAAAAAAACTGCAAGAGAGAGCAATTCAGCAACGCCACCAAGTAGGGGAGATAGGGTTCTCCCTACCAGGGTGTGGAATTTTTAATAATTCTAAGTTAAAATGGAGCATTCTATGGCTTCCTTGGGGCCAAAATTACTATCAGAATTACAGTTGAAGACTGTGGCCACATGTGATCCCTGGTCAATCAGAATTTTAAGGTTGCCAGAGGATCTGCTCCCCAGGGTAAGGGGGCACATAGCCATGGCATGAGGGCGCTGCGCCCCTGTTCCCTTGTTTAAAAATATCCCTTCCTAACCTGGAAATTTGTGCAATGGAATTAAAAGTATGTGTAAGGCCTATTGTCGTATATCGTGTTTGTCATATCCAAGTGGTTCCAATATTCTCACCAACTTGATCCAATGTCTTTTGTTTAGAAGTTCAAATTAAAGTATTTACTGTACATGTTGTAACAGTCTTGTGATAATGCAAAAATGCTTGTAAGTGCATGAATTATTTTTATTTCCAAGTAGAGTTTGATTAAATATGCTCACATAATAATAATAATAATAATAGCATAATAATGCCATTCTTGTTTTATTCTAATTCAGGGCTGCTAGGTCTAGTTATCAGCAAGTAAATTTTTATTTCACTGATCAGTAATTCTATTGAGTCATGATGGCATCAAGTGGACCTCTATCTGCTAGCTTTCCAATGCAAGGAACTCTTCCAAAACTGGCACAGGAAACAGAATTACAGAAGATGTTGACAGACGAGAGAATGAGATGTGAAATGCATAAAACTAACTATCAAACATTGAAAGCAGAACATCAAAGGTGAAATATAGTGAATGAAAACTTGTTTGGTGTTTTTTAGCCTGGGAGCTGCATTTATTTTTGTGAAATATTGA